AATATCTGACAGATTATCTTATGCAGGAGAGCATACACTTGATCTGTGATGTCCCACAGTACATTAATGGAATTATTTGAAAATGGTTAACTTGTGGAAATTAATATCAGTCATGAAATAAATGTGTTAGGAAATCACATGGAAGGGATATCTCAGGTGATGCAGCATATAAAACCCCTTCCCCAGCCACTCCATTCACTACTGTAGCTGGTTTGTATTTTCTCCATTCTGTCTTGGGATAGGGTTTTTTTTTTTAATATTCCTTGTATCACTTCTGAAATACCTCCATGTATTTATTACCTTTTCAAATGTCTCTTCTGCTTCAGTTTTTCTCCTCTCCTCCTCTGCTCTGTTTAGGTGTGTGTTGGTTTTTCTGACTCTAGCCTCCATGTTTTACAGCAATGTTTCTAATTCTTCTCTGTGGTTTTATTCAGTTTATTCAGATCTATTTTCCAGTTCAATAATTTTATCACCAGCTAGGTTTAACATGCTGTTAAACTCTTTCATGGAAGCTTATTTTAAGTGAATGTTGACTCCCTGTACTTCAGGATTTGATTAAATCTGAAAAATATTTGCTTTTTAATAGATTAGCTTAAAATATTTGCTTGTGTGATTCCAGAACCTCTGCTTTGGAAATTATTCCTGGACTATTTCATATTGACAAATGATTTAACTTGGAAGACTACATTCATAGACAATAGGGTCAGGCAACTGTCAGCAACTTAGGAGAGCAAATATGTAATGAGTATTTCCAAGACATTGAACCATAGTTTTAAGAAATTGGATTTTCCCAAACAATTAACTTAAAATGTTATTCCATAGTCAGCATTTTAAAATGCAAATTTCTCTCCCCCATTCATTTCTTAATACTTAAAAGGTCCTCAAAATAATATTTTCTGATATATTTATTTAAAATTACACTAAAATAGAATACTTAATTTTTAACTTAGTGACATTTTTCAAATGTTAGGTCTCACAGCAAATGAACTTAAAAATAATCATATATGTAAACTTTTTGTTTGTTCATAACAAGCTGTGAAATACGCAATGCTATAATGCTGAATTCTGTGCAGTTTTATTCTTTTGATGAGACTACACTCTGGTAAATAAGTAAATAAATAAAGAAAGTAAAATGCTTATCAAATTGGTGCCTGCAGTGAACTTTTTGTTTGAATAAAATGAGGCTGGTTGAAAAAAAATGGGCTTTTTTGGAACACCCAGAGGGCTTTTCTCTCATTTGCTCAGTGACATGCTGCATGTTAGAGAGACAATCCAGACATACTTTAAAATGTGATTTTAATATCTCTGTGAACATATTTTGAACTTATTTTTTTAAATCATCTATAACTATAGTATCTCATTTTGCAGAGAGATTTGAGAATTGTTACTACCCAAATCATGGCTGTAGGATTCTGCATTATAAATATGTGATGATTTGTAGACTTTTTAAACATACAGGTAAAAGCAGAGATAAACTGGGGAGAAGTTACAGAAAACAAGAACTATTACTCTCCAATAATTAAAAATGGACAAAGTTGAGGTGCTATCAAATAATTTGTCTAGTTGGGCTGGAGGTATAGGTGAGTAGTAAAGCACTTACTTAGCTTGTGCAAGTTCCTTGGTTTGATTCCTAGTACCACAAAGCAAACAAACAAAAATAATTTACCTAAAGAGATCCTGTATTGGGCTAGGTATGCTGGCTCATGCCTTTAATTCCAGCTACTCAGGAAGCACAGATCTTTCCTATCTGAAAAATAACTAAAGCAAAAAAGCCTGGAAACGTGGCTCAAGTGCTAGAGCACCTGCCTTGCAGGTGTGAGGCCCTGAGTAGTTCAAACCCCAATACTGATCAAAAAAAAAAAAAAAAAGAAAGAAAACCTGGGTTGGATTATTCTAGCTTTTCTGTGCACTTTTATTTGCTTTGAGGTTCTTTTGCAGAAGTTACAGTATTTATGATAAGCAGAAATATGATTATGGTATATGAAACAGAATGGCTCCCATAGAAAAAAATAAGATTCTTTCATTCCACAAGTTCCAAGAATCTGATTCAAAACAGCTAAAGTATGTTGGCTAGTCTAAGGATAACCTGGGCTTCAGGCATGGCACAGGAATGGCCATCGGGGCTTGGGGCCTCCCTAGCAATCTCAGTTCTGTATCCTCTGTGCCAATGTTGCTTGCAAGCACTTCTCACATGGCAGCCCCTTGGTGCTACAGACATACAGACTGGCCTCAGTCTCTGATCATTTTCAGATCGCTCAGGTCCCAGGCTCCTTAGGAACTGATTTCCATGCTCAGGAAGGCGCAACACACCGATTGCCCAAACTTAGGTCATGAACCTTCAACTCAACCACAGGCTCCCGAAGCCTATGGGAGTTAGGGTCCTAGAGCTCAGTCCACACAAATACATGGGCTGAGAGATGAACAGATTTTGCACGCAGCAACAGTGTGTTGTTACAAGAAGAAAATAAAATGACGACTAAGGATGCAAAACCTACAGAGGTCCACTAAACATGTGATGTAATGTATGAATCGACCACATAAAGCCTTTAAGAACAGGCATGCCTGAAAGTTCTAAATTGACCAAAAGGAAAAAATCTGATGTTCTGTGTGGGAGTAGATTTTTTTTTTTCTTACAGCTCATTGAATTTGACCCAACCTGGTAATTTCAATGACTTCAGAACTTGAAAAATGACTAGCCCAGGGAAAATTCCTCAAAATATGCCTTTGGATGAATAGCTTCATCTTCAGAATTCTGTGAAGTATGAAGAAAATTATTCAAAACTTGCATAAAAAAGGCATTTCCTGAATAAAATGTTGATGGGAAGTTTGTTATTTTTCAAATTTATTATTCTCTGTTAAAGGAAGTAACTTGTTAGACAAAATCCAATGGTCTATGAAAAGTCTTAAATGAGCATTACATATGATTCAAACTATGGACAATCTTCAGATTTTAGTTGTCAAAGGTGTGAAGTATGAAGTGGGAGCAATACTAAGATAAAATTCCAGCTCTGACCCTTCATTGTCTTATCAGCACTGGCAATTCCCGCCGTCTAAACCCTTGAGATAATCATAGCATATATGTCATAGCAATTGTACATGAGACAAATGAGAACAGTTAATATACAAAGATGCCTGGAATATGAACAAGTTCTAAAGTGTACAGTGGAAAATCATTCCCTATTCATCTATCCATCTACCAGTCCACGATGGTATGTCTGGTTAACAAAGACAGCTCCCTTCCACTCAATCATTAAGAAAAACCAATTCCTTCCATCTGTGGTTCTGTGGTCCCCAGCTATGGGAGGAAAAATAGAGAGAAAAACATGATTCCTTCTTTATAGTGTCACAAGTGCAAGATGTCACAGGGGAATCCACAGACGCGCTAGGGGGTTCTTGCTCTCAGAACACTCTCAAGAATGAGAGTCTGGAGCACTGAGTTACAGGCAGGAAAGAAACTTTATTGATAGAGAAAGGCTGAGTGGAGATGCATAGCAGGGTCAGGAAACTGGGAGTTACTTGAGCCCCGGTTAGGGGCTCCAATCATAGAGGGGATTTGTAGCAGTCCCATAACATAAATCAGCTCCACAACATCTTAGGGATGTGGAAGCTCCTGCGACCTCTGTGGGCCAAGAGTGGACCTATAGATTCCACTAAGAACTGTTCTTTAGGTTAGGGTGGAAGCCTTACATATATATACCCCCACTCCAACACTCAGGGGACACCTGATTTCCGGCCCTGCTGTGCATCTCTACTCAGCCTTTCTCCACCAGTAAAGTTTCTTTCCTGCCTGTAACTCAGTGCTCCAGACTCTCATTCTTGAGAGTGTTCTAAGAGCAAGAACCCATAGTACATCTGTAGATTCCCCCGTGACATCTCACGTCCTTGATAGTAGGACATGAGTGAACAAATCATTTGTTCATTATTTATTGAGAGCCAGGGCTTCACACAACCGAAGAGATGCTAAGGTATGTGGCCAAGCAGAGCTTCCAGGACAAAAAAGGGGAATAATCTCCAAGAGTTGTATTTACTAATGGACACACGCAAGACAGAGTTGCAGCTTTGTTCTAGACATAATCTACATAGCCATATCTATTTCAGTGGGTAGAAAGACACTAAACTTTTTTGAATGAAATATCACACTTGTGAAGTGCTCACTACTACATGTCTCAGATAGGAAGTTACTGAATTAAAAAATAAAGATTTCAAAAACAAATCAGTATGATAAGTACAACTTAAATTACTATGGGTTTTGCAACCATTTGGCACATAAAGAAGTTTATGAAAATGAAAAAAATTTGAAGTTCTAAAATCTTAAAAAGTTCCTAGGTTTTAATATTTTTTGTATTGCAAAATCAAAATTTTTTAAACATAAGAAATTTCTTCTGCTAATTTGCAAATGATACAGCCCTCTTTTCAAGAATCAGTTTGTACACTTGAGGTTTAGACGGTAGGTTTTGGTGTTGAAAGGACTTAAAAGTCTCAGAAATATCAGTATTTGCAAAGGCTACTGATGTGACTATTCACTGATCCCCCTTGCACCCAAATCTTCCCTCCCAAAAGCCCCAGGAATTGCCTGGTTCTCTTCCCTGATTCATTTCTGCTCCTATGCCTCTCACCCACAACTTGTCAGCATGAGTATGGAATTTCACAAGACTTAGCTCACAAAGCAGAATCAAAGTCATATGAATTAAACCCACAGTGATTCCCAACTTGTACTGGATAGGATAAAACAGATTGCCAATTCTTGCAAGGAGTTGTCTTCTACAGAAATCACATAAAATGTTCAGATCCTAGTAGCACCACACAAACTATAAATTTTCAGTCGAACAACACGAAAAAAGAAAGAAGCAGAAGGTAGATAATGCTGAAAATGGAAAAAAGTCAATGTTCACCAACTCAAATCAATAGAATATTTTTTACGCATAAAGGAGATTCTGGTATGCTCTTATAAAGACAGGTATTAACAGCATGGCTTTTATGACAATACGATTTGTACTCACCCAGAGCAAGTCACCAGATGAGAATGTGGTCAAAAGAATACAACTGGACTCTCTGTTAACTAGAACAGACACTGCAGCATAAAACAAAGACTGAGAGGGAAACTTTGTCAGCTAGAAAGTAAATGAATCCCTCTGACAGGAAACTCTTCTGCACCCAGAAGCCAGACTCATCTTGAGGCCTTGTGAGTGGTTGCCTATCAAAGCTCGCAGAGAACCAGGGTCTTCGAGCAGCATTGAGAAGGTTGGAGCCGACGTGATATCTTACTGGAGACAGTAAGAAGACAGTTTAGAAGAATATAAATGACTAGGTTTTAGTTTCTGTTGTTTGTTTCCTACACTGTTATGTATTTGAACTTACAGAAGGCTTCAAAATGAGAGGCAGAGTTGGGGTAAGCAAATGAGAATTGATGACTTCCCTGTTAACAGAGTGATGGCTCAATTTGTATTTACTGGCTTACAACATAGCTGTGAGAAAGCATTTTTCTAGTGTTGGTTAACGTCACTGCCACAGCTATAAAACTGCCTTGGAGTCCTGACTCTCACTGACTTCAAAATTAGGCCTGGTAGGCTCTGGAATTTACCACTTTGCTGTAACTGAGAAAACAGCTTCCGTGATGCAGTCCCCAAGTCACCAGATGATGTAGCACAAGAAAGGTGACCAGGGCAGAGCTCAAGATTCTTTCTGCCAGAGGGGACAGGACATGGTGATTGTGAAGGGAGACGAAGGTTCAGGCTGGGAAGCAGTTTTGGATTCTGCTCTGGGGTTCCTGCCTACCTCTTTGGCGTGTCTTTGGAGACAAAAGTCACATGGAACACAAAGGAGGTTTGTTTACCTATTATTCTTAAAAAGCCAAGACAAACAAAAATTACCTTAAACATTGTCATTACAAAATGTATGTTTATAAGGAGTAGCTGTCTAAAATACACATTTTTCCTTCAGATTTGAGAACAATGAGGTCACTATCCACACTTCTCAGATCTCCAAATCTTGCTTCACTCAGCATTAGCAAGAGCACAGCGGAGTTTCTGCCTTGCTCTTGCAATACACAGACCATTGCAGTACTCAAGCAAGCATGTCTCTCCCTCGACCCAGAGCAGACTCTCACCTAATCCACTTTTTCATACTCTTTCCTGATTTTTCATCTTTGCTTGGAAGAAACACAGTGGGCTGTGTTTGTTATTCTCACCATAGCAGGCAAGATCAGTGCCAGACCAGGTTAAGGTAGATAGTGATTCTGAGGCATAGGACTCTAGGCAGAGGGTACACTTCACTGGGGCTTTGAAGTCATGAATGGAAATCCAGAGTAGGGTGTGGTAAAACAGAATCATAAAGAATAATGAAATTTTGAGCAGGGTCCAGATTCTTTCAAATTATTGCTCATGACTTATGTGGGAGAAAAATTTGCTAATTTTCTTGAAAGATTTTTAGTCATAGGGATAAGGCCATGAGAAAAGAGAAGAGATGGAGTGGTAAACCCATGAGGACAGGATTCACTACAGTATGCTCAGCACATATGCTGCCTCATAGGTTTTCAGGAAGTTTTTGTGCAGCAAAATACTGAAGGGAACCTTGTTTTTCATTCAGGTCCTTATTAACTCAAGTCAAGATGTTACAGACTCACCTGGGGCCACCATGTCTTTCATCTAATAATACAAATTTGTAGTACTATATGAGTGGGCATGAGAGCAAATTAGATATAGTGACTGACCTCTCAGAATGGACTTTTAAAATAAAATAGGGAAAACTGGTAAGGATTTTGTTTTAGCACCTGCTATACACTAAGTCCATTAATAGTCCATTATAGAGGGTACAAGAGAGGTGCAAGTAAGAACACATTCCATTCAGGTTAAATTTTGGCAAGTATGTTAAGCAGCAGAGAGCAACATGGTGGACCTGGGGTCATACAATACCAGAATTTCCAAGTTGGGAATGATCTTGGACATGATCTCTGTTTCACTGCTGTGCTGTGTGTGAACCAAGGATAAAGTTCAAACTCTTCACAAAGCACTCTGGGGTCCTGAAGATCTTCCTGCAGCTCCTCTCTCAGGCCGAATCATCTGCCACTTTCTCCCTCATACATTAGGATCTACACTTGCTCAGGAGTATCTGATGGCCCCTCTCTCCCCTGTCTCCCTCCTGCTGGGATCATTGCCAGGGTCCCTCCCTCTGGCGGCCTCTGATTCTCCATCTTTTCCCCATCTTCTTGCCTCTGGGGTTAGTGCTCTCTGAGTTCACACAGCTCCCCGGCCTTTGCTGATAAAGCACTGAATGCACAGTGTAGCCACCATCTCTCCCACAAATGTCCTGAAAACTGGAATTGGGAGTCTCTGCCTATGGATCCCCAGTGTTTAGCTAAGGCATGGAGCTTACACCTCAGAGATTAGCTTGCTTGCCCAGAGATAGCTCTTATAGAGATGTAGCTGGGCATATTGGTACATGCATATAACCCTAGTATTCAGAAAGCAGAGGCAAGAGGATTGAGAGTTTGGGGTCAGTCGGGGCCACATAGTGAGACCCTGTCTCAAAAAAGTGGATTTGAAATAATGGGGTTGGGAATTCAACTGGCACCCAAGAAAGCTGAAAGTGTACTCCAGCTACAGTAGGCAGACCAGCTGGAGAAGAGAGATAAATGGAGAAAGCTTTAAAAGCAGAGAGCCTACAGCAGGGGAGTTTTAATGCTGAACAGGAAAGCAGACATCTTCCATTAAAGGAAGTTGATCTCCTTCACTTTTTGATATACTCATTGACATCTCTATGTGCTCAGAGATAACCTAGGTGTTGTTGGAGATGGCAGTAAAGCCATGATCCTGTTAATCATTTATACATTGATTTAATAATCAAAACATAGAGAACCAGGTGACAGAAGGTAATAATAAGCTTCAAGTTTGACTGGGCAGTGAGTCAAGGCAAAGAAAGCTCTATGATAAGGTCTCCAGGGCAACAAATCTTGATTATATGCCAAGGTGGAGTTCAATTTTTTAAAAAAACAATTGTCCAAAGGCATCTTAGACATTGTTTACAAGCCGTTAGTCCCTTCGATGACAGAAACACTACCAACAATTGACAATATTTTAATTCTAACGTCATTTGCAGGGATATGAATTTCAATGAAGTGGTAAACATTTTTGCCAGAATACATATTGATTACATCTCTTATAGCACTGTCTGCTCTTTTGGATCAATGATATGCTTCCATGGTTCTTGAGTGCCAGTTAGTAGTTGTACTGGAGAAACATGGCAACAGTCAAGCTGCTGAGTGTGTGTGTGTGTGTATGGGGGCAGGGATTGTGCTTCCATATGCACCAATACAAGAAGTAGGCAACATGTCACCTGTATATGGGTGTGCTATTTGCTCGCTCGAATTCCATGAGACATGCAGTAGCTCTTGCTTCAAGTCTCAATCAAAGAAACAGAATGGGTAATTACAAGCCATCCCATGACATACAGAGTGGCCATAGTGAGATGCAGCTCAAAGTTCAAAAAAGAAAACGGTGGCAAGTGTTCAGTGTAAATATATCTAAGATAATGTGTGCAACCAAGTTAGGAGTTCTGTCTGTTTCTCAAAACGAGACATACACTTTAAAGTTAACATGGAGCCCTTATTCACGTACAACACAATAGCTGAATTTGACAAACCTAATGCACATTCTAGAAACCAGTTAAGACTTTATTGGACACCTTTTCTTTGCTTTCCTGTTGTTGCTTGGTAGCAGGAGTCCTATTCCTCAGTCTGTCCAGCTCATCTCTGCACACAGACGGCAATGGTTTCATAGCTGATTATTAAAAGGCTGAGGAAGCAGAGCTAAGCTGCAGCACCTGAGGTGAGAAATGAGGCCAGCATTCCCAAGGGTTTCCTTCAATGGCAGAAACTCTTCCAGTATGCATCAGTGCAAGGGTTCACTCTGCCTCCTTACTGTTAGCAGTACAGTCCCATGGTCCCCACTGTGACTCTTCCTGTCTGCCTTTTGACTTTTTCTTTTAATTCAGGAGGTGGAAAGTGGCTTTATTAAGATGCAGTATTCATAATCTACTTTAATTTTTTTGGAAGAACAAAGCAGAATTTTAAAGGATATTTATCGCCTGAAAAAATACCTATAAAATTAGAATCGCAAAGAAAAGAAAAAAGAAAGAAATAGGACTGGGCTTCTGGCCTCATCTCTCCTATTAAGTCTTGTGTGGCCTGAAAGTTGCAATAAAACGTCACCGAAGTTCAAGATGAATTTGGAGATGAATGAGACAGGCCTAGTGGAGCAGACTGGAGAATCCAATCTTCTAAGTTAAGTTGATTTTTTAAGAGAAGCCCAAAACTACAGGTGGATGTGAGAGCTAATTTTTGGAATCTTGAGGACTAAACTTAACTAAAAACAAAACACATTGAAAGGAAAATAAAACAAATCTGCCTACAGATGGGAGCCTGACAGCATTTTCAACCTCATTTCCTTGGCTATGAAACGAGAGACAGCAGTAAATAGATGACCATCTGCATCAGCTGTCTTACCTGTGCCTCTAATACAGACAACTACTGGAAACATAGCAGAAATGAGGAAAACAGAAAATGACAACAACTTGTAACTTACAAGTCTATAAGTAGCAACACCATGAAATGTGGGCACTGCTGTGAGGATGGCTACAGTTAAGTTTAAATGGTTTTTCCCACTGTAGAGTATTTTACAGTGTTGGAGCTCTTTGGAGAAAGAAATAATATAAAGGCTTTATATGATATAATTGTGATCGTCTTATTTTAAACAACACGCTGTCAGGAGATCAAGACAAATTTAATGCAATTTTTATATCATGAAAATATAGCACATGGAAGTTGTCTTTTCCCAGAAAATAAGTATATAGCTCCATGTTCTGATTTATACCATTTTGCAACAAGTTGGCTCATTAGGGAAAACCATGGATTACGCGTGTAACAACTCTATTAACTGATCCTACTTTTTTGCTGTAGTTTGAATGGATAACAGAAGAAATGCTATTCAGTGTTGACCTCCTCACGGGTCTCTTGTTTATTCTTTACACAGCAGCCAGTGTAATCTTTGAAAAAGAAATCTGCTCTAATCATTTCCCTGTCATCACTTCTCATAGCTCTATAAAAAAACTGTATTAGTGTATATTAATCTCACAAATGGGTTTCAGTGTGATGCTCTCATACATGCATACAATGCACCTTGATCAAATTCACTCCTCCATTACTCTTTCCTATCCCCCATCCCAACCCCTCCCTTACTTAAATAGTTTTTAGGACTTCTTTATAATCTTTTCATATCTACAGTGTACTTCAATTACATCCACCACCTCATCATACTCTTCTTTCCCTCTCCCCCTCCTCCTGAATCCCCCCAAAACAAGTACCGCTTTTACAATGCAATACAATTCTAAACGTTTTTCAACCTGTGAAGTAG